CGGCATGCCCCTTCCGGACCTACGATCCCATTTCCTGTGGTGCCTGTTCGATTTGCCCTCCTACGGGGCATGCATCTTTGTGAGATGCCATTGAAAAGGGAGGCGCCAAGAATTTGAATTCGACCTCCGTACTTTTCCACTTCACCGCCCAAAAAGCAGGGCTGCACTCCGCGTTGCCCTTGCCCCTGCAATCCCCCGCCGTGGAGTTCGTTCACATTCTACTGCGACATGCCGACTTCCAGGTCCTCGACTTCGACATCCTCGCAGTTTGTTCGTGAAGGTCTATGTTCCACCCCGTCTTCCATGCCCCTCTCTCATGTTACACGGCTTTCGAATTGGTTTCGGCGCATGGTACGCTGGGCAATTGCCCACCCACTCCCGAATGCAAATTCTGTTCGCAGGTCTTTCGCACAACCGCACGCAATAGGAAACATCCCGCAGCCCGACCAACATCAGCCCTCCACAGCTGAAATTCCAAATGCTAATGAGAATACGCCAACCCGACAGGAGACCGGACCAATCGCAACAAATTTGGCCGAAGTGGCTGCAAGGGAGGAGGACCAGCATCCTACGAATACGGTGGCAGTTCCACCGCCGCCATCGCCGCCATCACCACCTCTGCCACCACCACCGCCATCATCATCACCACGACTGCCCCCTGCCGTATCACCACCACCCTCCCCACCACCTTCAGCACCACTATCGCAGCCGCCGTCGCTACCAGCATCATCGTCATCAACCTCAACATCATCATCACCATCATCACATTCATGGTCGGATCAGCTACGACAAAGGCCCATTCGGCGGACGCGTACGACATTGGACCAACCATTGCAGATGCCTCTTTGGCGGGTCCATTCTCCGTCTCCACCGCCGTCCCCAAGACAGCGGCCTCGTCTAGCCGTGAACGGCTTGATCACSGCGCCTCCAACGGCTACTAGAGATTTGCTCCGCCGACATGCTCGCAACCGTTCGGAACGACAGCGTCGCCTTCGATACACAGTAGCCAGGAATAGTACACGCCGAGTCCGATGCCCGCAATGTGGGGATGATTTCTTCAGTGTTGCAAGCCTCCGTGTGCACCAGACATGAGGTGCAGCTACTTGTGCAACATTTGCACGACTGGCAGCCGCTCTGAGCACAAGTGCAGCTGATCAGCTTCCGTTTTCCTCCATCTGACCCACCGAGTTCTCACCCCCCTGACCCGCCCCTTTCTCATCCAACTAGCCCCGTTTCTTCCCCTGCCCCAAATGACATTGACCCGTCTTCTGGCTACCTGATGGAGCCCCGGATTGAAGATCGTCTCTCTCCGGAGCGCATACTAGAGCCAATTGGTCAAGACCGCAATGAGTCTCCTCCATCTGTGCAATCTGCAGAATCGAACGAATCTCCTCCTGCTGTGAACGAATCTCTAGCACAACCCGCGGAATCCAACGATGTCATAGCGCTACAGCGAGGCCGCTGTGCGTACTATGCCATCAATGCATGTCTCCTTGCCTACAATTGTAACCCTTATTCGGTTGCTGATTTCGCAGACGTTGTCCGCTGGATAGAAGAAGAGCACCGTGCCGTATGCCCAGAGGACGACAGTGCTGCACCTGGTGTGAATATAGAAGTCCTGGCTATGGCATTTATGGGTAGGCGACTACAATTCCAGCCTGCCCCTCAAAACCACGTGCCAGGCATGTATCCAAATATTCGGGCATATATCTTATATCGTCCAGGTCATTTTAGTGCTTTTACCTTTGCAGATAACTCATGGACCCTATGGGACAACGGCGGCAGGATGCACACAACAGAAAATGTTAATTCTTTCTATCACCAAATGGAGGAGGGTCACGCAGTCTGGCTCGTCCATCAGGAACAGTATGTCGATCACCACTCGCAAGCACTACAGCCCCTGCAGAGCAATCTGGCTGGTCCTACCACAAACAATGAACGGACCTCTCCAGAGGATAGTGGCTGTGCCCTCCCATTGTGCAGTGGCACAGGTACAGTTCGGTTGGCGTGTACACGGCATAGCCTCTGCTCCGAACATTATGAAGGGATGGTCGCTGCTAGCCTCTCCCACGAAAATTGTGATCCCTTGTCTTGTGCTCATCCCCCCCACCCCCTGATTACTTGCCCAGCATGCCGTTGTGGCCTTGATCCGCCATGCTTAAATAATTGTACACGTCATTCTTCCATACTGATGACATGTCAGCAACATGCCATGTGTCGTCAGTGCTTCCAGGAAGCAATCATAGAAAGTATGCGTCTTTACTGCGTGGACTATCCCCGGTGCCATCACCTACCACATCCTCTCCTAGCATGTCCCACATGCGGTGTTGGTCATACACCTACGGCAACCGCAGAGGGTTCTTCCTCTTCCTTGCCAGACGTGCGACACACACAGCAGCCCGAGGAGGAAAATGGGCCTCTATATGAACCAGCTTCAGAGCGGGGTACTGATCGCTTATCACCATCAAGGCGAGCTGTTGTGGACCAAATCCTGCAGCAGCTGAACGCCCTTGCTTTGGACCGACCCTCCCTGTCGTCGTCTGCCCATACAGAAGGAATAAATACTGAGGAAACCCAGGAAACATGCTCTATACCGCTATGTGATGACCCGCCGGAGATTCGACTTGCATGTGGTTCACATGCTTTGTGCGGTGAGGATTATGAAGGAATAGTCCATGCGAGTTTCTGCTTTCATACCTACGACGACAGTCAGCACTGTACTCATGTACGGCACCCTGACATGTCATGTCCAATTTGTAGACAGGCGCTAGAACGGCCGTGCCTCTATAATTGTGGTCGACGTGCCTCCGTGTTCCTAGCATGTAGGAGCCACATTGCCTGTGACATCTGTCTGCGCCGTGCCATTCGATGCAGCAACTGTGACTGCGAAAACTGGATGCGGTGCTTCCACAGTCCACACCCGAACTGGTCCTGTCCGGTCTGTAGGGATGGTCACTTACCATAGGCAATAACTGCTCCTTGACTCAAAATCTTGTGCAACCCAAACACCAATGAACCTCATGTGCTATTCCAGCGGTGAGTGTTTAGAATTCTGCGAAGCCCATCATATACCTCTCGCCTGCCCTACCCTTGCACTCTGCTTTCCCCCTACCTCACGTCCTGACAAACTTACCTCCTGTCCCTTTCCCTCCGCCCTCTCCTTACGTGCAACTAGGAAATACATACGAATGAGCATCAGTAAGAGTACAGACAAAGTATAAGTTGAAGATTTGAAGAGAAATGAACAGGAGTATGAAGACGAACGACAAACACAAAGACTAAGCATATGCTGAAGACCCGAAGTGAAATGAACAGCTGGAGATCTGAAGGGAAATGAACAGCTGGAGATCCGAAGTGAAATGAACAGGAGTATGAAGATCTGAACTGAAGTGCACAGGAGCATACCTTCCCCTTTACTCTGCCTCTTATTATAACGTGCTAGTGGGCTGTTAAGGCACACGGGGATGTGGGCAGCTGCCGCTCAACCACCATCAACGTGGGCAGCCTTGTACGTGCGAGACAAAGTGAAAGAGGAGCTGTTGCCCCAAAGAAACCCTAGCTAAACACGATTCAAAATGGTTCTATTATGATTCGTGCTGCCTGTTTGGGCGGATTCAGTCCGGTTCTACTCATCTGGTTGGAATAGGGTTTGTTGTGGGGGAAGCTTATAAGACACACACTCATGCAAAATGATGAAGGGCGCAGCAGAAAGATGACAACATGGGAAAATTTCTGATATACCCCGGTAGCTCCCGTCCCAGGGCCAGGGGAACGGCCGCATCCAACAACAACCGTGGGGGCATACTGAAAAGATGCATGGTACTGGTAGGGGCATATGGCAAATTCTACTTCAGGTCCTCAACAGCCAACAGGTAGGGGCATACTGGAAATTTGGCGGCCGTACCGGTAGGGGCATATTGAACATATGTCAGGCCCAAGTGAGGCCATGGGTTTTCTGGAAACTTGAGTCGTTGTCAGAGGGGCAAATCAAGAAATATTGGCCGTCCAAGGGCAAATCACAAATAAACGGAAAATTCAGGGGCATCTTACAAATTTACCTCTTTTTTTGTTCTTTTCATTCAGCTGTCATTTTGTGCCCCGGGGTAGGCCCTCGTTGTAGGCCGTTGTTGTTTCTGCGGACGGACATCTTGTAGGCCGTTGTTGTTTCTGCGGAGCCATCCGAAATGCAGTGTAAGGTCACCCACTGCATTTGTTATTTAGCTCGCACCGCGGGCACTTAGCTAGTCTGACTGAATCCCTGTATTTTTATTCTTTTTCCCTTTGTTTGCTGAGAGTTCCTCGGTGTTTCAGGATTACTATCTGCTGTCGTTGAGTTCATACTCACACGATCTTTTTTTTACTTATTTCTGGACGGAATTGCGACCAGATGCATACAGGTGTGGCGTAAATGGGTACGATAGTGCTAGTGTGTGTACGGCCTAATGGGCACCAATCCTGCAGCTGACTGCAGAGACTCCATCAACGGCGGTCAGTGCGCAGTATGGCACCGTAGCTCGACTTTGAACCCCTTTATATCGTTGTGAATCTTTTTGAATCTTTTTGAATCTTTTTGAATCAAAGGGCATACTCACACTACCGTAGGGCTCTTTTTCTACTAAGCTCTGGATGTGATCACGATCAGATTCAGTTCCTTTCGAATCGTTTCGAATGTAATAGAATCCCTCCATATCCTTTCGAACCGTTGTGAATGCGCGAGATAGCCTACGAGGGGATTGGTCGATCGCGAGTTCCTTTCTGTCAAAAAATAAATAAATACAAATTTGGACCATTTCTCGATTTATGCGTGTCATCCTGTCGAGCTTCAGCTTCACCGACGAAGCCATCTTTCCAAGAAAAAAGAAAAAAGACGTTCTTGAATCAGATCCTCATCCCCAATCAGGTTGCCTCCTTGTTTTAGTACTTTATTGCTTTATTATTGAGTATAATAATTTCAAAGCGTACACCGCGGTTCGTCCTTCCGCTCGTCTATGCGCTAAATGGTGGGACGTGAAAGAGAGAAGGAAAAATTTAGTACCCTGCATGGCCCCTGTATATGCGAAGGGACAAGACAAATGGAGACGTACGGTTGGGAAGTAACTGCTGACTGAAAACCCCTTCGCTGGCTTAACAGGGAGACATTGCAAATCGCTACGCTGCTAATCAATCATGATCACAGCTTGGATGGCCCAATAGTCAGTCCTGACGTCGCAAGTTTGCAGCCTTAGGGTCAGATCCCACTACCCTGGATTATTCATTTTTCACCCTCGATTACGAAGATCAACGGTCAGAAATGAACAATAGGGCCTATTGGGATCTGGCCCTTATACACTTGCGTCCCTTGCTGCGGACAAGGCTCTTGTCGTTTGCGGATCAGGCGCTCACGGCTGTCTTGGGAGTCTCAGGCGCAAGTCGTTAACCAGTGGTTGGCTTTTGCTGACTTAGGCAAACCATCTGCACGCAACGGGCCACGTGGAGTCGTTCTATCGGGGGGTGAGGGAAGGGCGTACAACCTCAATGGCCATGTCAATTAGGTGCGATGGCAAAGTAGCCTTCGCAAGGGTTGTGCGAGGGCGTGAAGGGCGGCTGGAATAACAGGATTGGGGGGGGAGGGTGGGGGTGGGGTGAGGGAAGGGGTAGGGGGGGATTGGACGGACGGGCAATCGGCATCCAGCGCACGAATGCGCAAGTATACATGGCAAGATCTCGGACGTGGCCGTCAGATAAACACGTCGTTAGATGTTACGTTGAATACTGTGCTGTCGACAGGGGAGGGTGCACGAGAACGCTGAACGAAGAGGCCCATAACCGCTCGGGTAAGATATTGGGTCGTAGATGAAGCTCTGCGTTCCACCGATTTTGATACCTTGGCGTCGTTCTAACGGCGGCCTGCTTCGTACATCATCGCAACGCCTGGTCCTACCGACGCGCAATCAGTGCCGAAAGAGGGTACCGTGAATTAAAAAGGGAAGATGATGAGAGAGAGAGAGAGAGAGAGAGAGAGAGAGAGAGATGTGTCTGTGTGTGTG